CGGAATCTTGCCCACTTCAGCTCCGGATGATCGCATGGTTTTGCATGATGGTACGTGCATTCTTACGGCTACGATTATCTTGTCTCTAGGACAACTCTGGGATCCACGCTGCGCTACAGAGCCCCTGCACACCTTCGGACCTGTTCGGCTGCGTGGCCTCCGGCATTCCATCCCCACGGCAATGAGGTCATCATCAACGCACAAGTGGTGGGTTTTGTAGTCGGCGAGCTAGAAATTTTTTTCTAAGTGGGACCTTCGTGCCTACAAACTACTGCGCTCCATCCCCGCCCTCGACCAGTGCAAGGTAGTTTATCATCCCGTGGATATCTATTTTTTTAACTACTTTCTCTTCAACCGGCAACATCTTCTACGCGATCAAGCGGGAAGAGGATCGCGAGGATAAGCTCGTTTCGCGACACATACACCAGCAAATTTTGGTCCTACGACTCCATCTTATACGAGGTTTTTGAATTTTAGGTTTCCATAATATGAGAGTTTTCAGCAAATTGCTGAGGTGGATGTGCGAAAGCCGTTGCTCGGATTCTGTCTCGACCACACTGATCAAAGGGTTGCGGTTGTGGAGCGGACGTCGCGTGATGAGGAGGGGTATAGAAGCCTCGAATCTTCAGCCGTCAAATTTTTTGAGGTTTTGTGAATATCTTTTTAAATTATATAAGTGTTATAATAGACTATATATTTTGAGGAAAGGCAGTACAGGTCACGGAAATAATTGGATATCCATTTTTCCTAGCCCTCCAACTTTCCCGCAATATCTCCTTTTAGATCAAGCAAACTGCGGATCCCCGAAGAAGATGGCGAGGAAGAGGTTGATCCGGAAGCTGTTGGAGTGAATACTCCGTCGTCTGCTGTAAGTTTTTATATACCCCGAGTTGGCTTTTTTGTGTTCGTGCGAATTTACTTCATTTTTAGGAGGAATCATCTGACTTTGACGATGAGGACGAAGAGGAAGATGAAGACGAGGACGAGGATGACGCAAACGATGATGCTGACGGCAGTGAAAGCGGATCGGGGGAAGGTGGCGATCTCTCTAGTGGCTGGGAACTCGACGAAAACGCAGATGCCCCCATGAATTCTGAAGGTATTAGTTTCTTCCGCTTTCGACTATCCATATCTTATTAGCTGGAAGCGGAGCTTCCGATGACAGTGACGAGGACGAGGACGATGATGTTGACGATGATATGGAAGATGGCCAGGATTTCTTCGACCTAGATGATTCCGACGAGGAATATGAGGAAGAGCCGGATTCGCGGGGGCAAGGTCGGTTTCTTGGCTCGGCCTCTAATATTTTTTTGATTTAGGCAGTTCGAGCATCGTCCTCAACCCACACCTTCGCCGAGCCCGCCGCCGGGACATCGCTAGCGAACGCGACGGTTAAAACGCTGATCAATTGAATGCACCGTTTCTTTTTGTTGTTTGTTTTTCTTTTGTTGGATACTTAGTCCGTTGTTAGGCTTTGAAATTGGGTCTCTTGTTACCGGTGATTTCGCCTCGCCCTCTCCCGCCTTCTCACTGGCGGAAGCCTTTGTGCTGTGAGGTGTAGGCTATTTTCATGTTGTCCCTTGTTGTTCCTTATGTTCTGATAAATTTTTCTATTCTGTTTGCCTTTTTTCAAGTGCAGTATGATACTTTATACCGATTATATTAAAAATGTATATCCGTTAGAGCCAAAGCCACTTTGGGAGTTCGGCGAGTCGATTGGCCCGGTGCTAGCCACCTAAAGCTTTTGTTTGAATATTTGAGGCGGTAAGTACCTGGTACACATCAGTCTATTCCGGGAAATAATCCCATTTGCTCGGCTAGTTTCTCCAATATGTTGTAGGTTCCTTTGCTTCCCTCGGGCACAAATGCGTGCAAGTCGCGCCTATTTCTCGTTCAAACCTTTCCGTCCCCTTACCGATAGATTGCAGCCATATCCGGATTGAAATCGAAGTCGTCCTCGGGGTTCTAAACAATTTTTTTTCAGACCGATATTGCGCCTACTTACGTAGTAATTCAGAACCAGCTCGCGTAGTAGCCCTTCCCCAATTTCTTCGCTTTCTGCCAAAAGTGGCCCCCGGGAGCAAGAATTCCCAATGGATCCCCCACGGCTTCGCGTATCATCCCAAAGCCGACAAGTTTCCCCCTACGAGGATTCAGGCCTTACATCAATTGTCCAAACCTGACCATCAATCGTTATGATGGCATGGTTACCCTTGAGTGAAGAAAAAGCTTTCCAGAATGCCCCGCTAAAATTTTGTTAGGTTTATTCCTTGGCGACATACCCTTTACTGTAGCCGGTGATTGCGGCCTCGAAATTTGCGACCTCGCCCATAGTTCTCCATCCGCTTGGTCTCCTGCTATGACTTTGTAAGCGCTTGGCATTATCTAAATGGCCTTTTCAAAACACGGAGTCTGAATACCGTCAACTTTGTAAAGCCATCCCCATTAGTGACCGTAAGACGTTGGCTACGTGGTTGGTTCGCCAGCTTTAGGCCGAAGCGAGGTAGTGAATGGTGAAGCGGGTGCACTAGTTACAAACATTTATTATTTTTGTCCGACCGACCTGCATGGAATACTACCTTGCTTCGCGGCGGGTAGTGGTCCAATATCTCCCTAAGGAGCTTTTCCCCGATACCAGAATGTCTGAATTATCTGTTAGCGCGAGACAAACGCTCACACCTATTTTCCTCGACGACAAAGTGACATCCTAGCACGCAAACTTGGTCGTAGTTGACCAGTAATATACCACCAATAAAATCCCCATCTAAATGTGCCTTTAGTTTACTGTTGCTTAGGCGGGTCGTTGATTTATAGACCCTTTAAGCTTATACTTTGTGCCTTTGCAACCAAGAGTTTCACAGTAGCAGTCTTCTCCAATGTCTCCATCAGCTCGTACTGCAACAAGAAATGGCTCTGCATTTCCGCCAAAGCGACAAGCTAAAGAGGGTTTTACGAATAGTGCTAGTCCTATACTTTTTGGAAGTCTTCTGATCCACCCCAGTGGAACTTGTACCAGAAGCCGTGCCGCGAATAAGCACCCTTCCAGGGGTCGCCGACCCATCTCGGGAGTTCAATGTCATAAGCCTGTGCCTGGGTTCCCTGTATCTTACTCGCCTTACCTCCATCGAGATTGGCTCCCCAATAACCTGCGGTTCTTGCTGGGCGAGCACCACATCAAATTTTTGTAGAGGATTTGTAGAAAGTTTTAGTGGATCCAGGACAACCATCTTTGCGTGTAAAGGGCCGCGGAAATTTTGCGACTGGAATACGAGATCGTGCATCGCAGCCAAATTAGCTGCGTTTTGCCGGGGTTCACATGGCCAGTGTCGCGGTGATTTGCATGAATCGATCCGAAACATCTAAAATGGTCATAGCTTTTTTCATTCTCCAGCACTTTTGTCGTTTTTTTGTTTGCAAAAAAAAACAATTTTCACTCATTTGCTCGAAAGTTTGGGGGGTGACCCGAGCAACGGCGCGCTACAAATTACGTCTGGGCTGCATTTCCCCTCCTGCGATCGGTGATCTCGAACAGATTTTCTTTCGTCAAATTTATCTTTGCCCCTTTCCTTTTGGCTATTAACTTTGTTAGTGTTTTTGCTCGTTATAGCCTCGAAATTTTTTTTTTTTGTTGGCCTAATTTTTTCTGCCCGTCCGAGCGTTGTTCCTTCCAATTCTCTTGTTTTTACGTTGTGGCTAAAGAAAATAAAACTTTTGTTCAGATGGTCCGTCGTCGCACCGCTTCCCCGACGCCTTCGGCCCCGGTCCGCAGAGCTGCGCCGAGCCCGCCGCCCTCAGCTCGTGCAGCCCTCCTATGGCGTCCCCGATGTCGGCTCGCCCTGCTGCCGCCCCGATGCACGCCGCGCCTCCGATGGCCGGTGCCGCCCCTTCTCAGGTACGAAAATTTCCAACGCCTAGAAAAATTACATTCATTTAGGGCCCCGGTTTGATGGCTCAAATGGCCGCGACCGCTGGTGGCGTCGCCATCGGCTCGGCCGTCGGCCACACCGTTGGGCATATGTTGACCGGTGGCGGCGGCTCGTCGAATGACCACGCGCCCGCGGCTGCCCCTGCCGCCGCCGCTCCGGCCGGCCAGCAGTATGCCAATCCTTGCGAGTTCGAGTGGAAGCAGTTCATGGAATGGTACGAGTTTCAGTGCGTTTTTATTCAGCTTCTTCTAGCTCGCAATCCCAGTCGGACGTCTCGCTGTGCCAGGGCTTCAACGACGCTTTCAAGCAGTGCCGCACTCGCTACAATTAGACACCATTTTGCCTTACTTCATAGATGTTGATTGATTTTACGTGATTGTCATGACCTGGTCACTCCATTTCCATTTCGTGTGCTAGGATTTTTATGAGAATAAACTAGAGATTACAGATATGGGCGTCCGGGAGAAGCTAGGCAAGAATCTCAAGAATAAATTTAAACAGCAAAATCTGTTGCAGGTATGATTACGGGCACATTCACTAATTCTTGGATTCAGGGAAAAGAAGAGGTCGACGAGGAAAAATTGGCGAAGTTACTTCATCAGGAGGTCATCAGCGATTCTGATGATTCGAGCGTTGATGGTGATGAGAAACCTGATCAGGTTGCTTTTTAGTCCACCTCTTAATTGGATTTTCAGGACGCACAAGTAGTTCGAAGCAAATGGACGAATAGGACCCGCGTACTATTATTCTGCTCCCGGGGGACTGACTTCCGCACAAGACATTTGCTGAAAGATTTGCACGTAAGCGTTAGACATATTCGCCTTATACAGATATTTTAGACACTGATGCCACACTCGAAATCAGAGCCGAAATTTGACAAGACAGCCACTCTCTCGGTCATCAACGAGATTGCGGAAATGAAGAATTGCCAGAAGGTTCTTTATTTCGAGAACAGGAAAAGAAAGGTAGTTTGTTAGCGCTTAGTTTGCTAATTTTTCTTAGGATCGGTATCTCTGGATGTCGAACATTGAAAACGGGCCGTCCATGAAGTTTCTCGTGCACAACATCCACACAATGGACGAGCTAAAGGTAACCATATTGCATCACAAGCTCAAAAAAATTTCTTCAGTTGACCGGCAATTGCTTGAAAGCCTCTCGGCCGATCCTGTCGTTTGATTCAACGTTTGAAGGCAAGCCGCATTTGGAGTTGATCAAGCAGACGCTTACACAGGTGCGCTTTTTGCTTCGTCCCAAAATCCCGGCGTTTTTAGGTATTTAGCACACCCGAGCACCACCCACGATCTCAACCGTTTGTCGACCACGTTTTCACTTTCTCGATTTCCCCAGATGAGAAGATCTGGTTCCGAAATTTCCAAATCGTCGATGAAACCTTGCAATTGCAAGAGATCGGTATGTTTGAGAAAACCTTGAGAATTGATTATTCTTTCTTAGGGCCTCGATTTGTGCTCGAATTGATCCGGATCTTCAACGGATCCTTCGAAGGGGCTGTTCTATACGATAATCCAAACTATGAGGTAACTTCGCTTGGTGATAATGGATAAGATTGAATCTATAGGCTCCGAACGATAAGCGACGCATGCTGAAGATTGTCAACCAAAACAAATATGTCAACAAGAAACTACACGAAAAGGTGATTTCATTTTCTGGCTATAAGCAATCTCTTTCAGGTTCAAGTTGAGAAGGACATCTCGACGAAGGCCGTGCTCAAGGAGAAAGTGGAAGATCCTGCTGGCGAGGTTAACTCGTTCCCATCGCTCTAAACTAGCCCTTTCCTAGATTTTCAACGCGGTTCCTTCCGACGAAGCCGCAAAGTTGGTGGCCGCCAAGATGGACAAGAATTTGAAGAAGAGGAAGGCGACCAGCAACGGCAAGCAAAAACTGAAAAAGAAGAAGGCCGTCCCGGAATGCTAGTTCAATCGTTTTGTTTGTTATTCGAACGTTGTTGTTTGTTATTGTTGCTACAGTTTTTGTTGATGATAAACTGGGTTTTGCCGCGCTTGCTTTCGGGGTTTGGGTCGTCATGGCAACCGAGTCACGCAACAGCAGCCCGATGCATCGAATCACTTTGCCTTATACTAAAAATGGATGCAACGGGGTCGTCTTTCTGGTCCAATTCGTTGTATTCTGCGGTATGTTCACCTCGCACGGCAGAGGTTTCTCCTCTCAATTTCCTAGAGGAAATGGATGCATGCCTATACGAGGGGGTTCCGTGCACAGGTAGTCCCTACTTCGAAACAACGAGCTTGCGAATAGATACCTCACTAACAGATGAGTGCGAGCTTTGGCGAAGCAGATTTCCACATTTCCGACTCAAAGGCTCTAGGATCCGTAAGAGCTGTAAATGTCCGTACACAAAATCAAAAATCAGATCCGCCGCCTCGCGAAACCGGAGAAAACGAGTTCAGAAAGATGATCGTAGATGTCCTCATCCAGGAACATGCCATCCCAAAAGTATTCAAAACTTTTTTATCTGTCAACAACCAACTTTAGATACAAACGGCAATTGTCTCTAAAAAACGATTGCTCAACAGACCACAAATGAAGAATGTATCAAAGTGAGACTCGAAGAAGACTTGAATAAATGATTAATGTGTGGCTATAACAAAACAACGTAACAACGGGGGGATAACAATGTAAGGAACCCAACAAGGAGCAATGGGGAAGGGGGCATGCACCAGCTCTAATCTTCGAACTTGGTCTTCTTATTTTGAGCGCCGGCTGCTGGAGAGTCGAAGTTGCGCTTGAAGCCTCCGCCGCGATCTGAAAACAGCTGTTATGAACGCCGCCCGCGATGATAGAAACTGAACATGGAACACAAAAAGGCAAAAAATAAATACCTCCACGGAATCCGCCCCTGTCGCCACCGCGGAAGCCGCCTCGGTCACCACCTCGGAAGCCGCCACGATCGCCGCCACGGAAGCCACCTCGATCGCCGCCGCGGAATCCTCCACGATCGCCGCCACGGAAGCCACCTCGGTCTCCTCCTCGGAAGCCACCCCGATCACCGCCACGGAAACCACCTAAACAAAAATACTGAATGAAGGTAATTACAAACCTCCACGGCCACCTCGATCTCCTCCACGGAATCCACCGCCTCGGCCACCACGTCCACGGTCACCGCCACGACCACGGCCTCCACGCTGTTGCTGGAACGCGAACAGTTAGACAAGGATTGTAGTCAATCAGAAACGCGGACCACATTTCCATGGGTCCCTGTAGCACAGGAAATGAAAATGAAACTCACCTGTCCAGTAAACCGCTCCACAGGTAGGAGTTTTGCAGGATCGATGTATACTTGTTGACCACTTTCGAATGACGCCGACTTGACACCACCGCTCAATTTGACCGTAAATCCCTGGAAAAACAATACGTAAAATATGCACGCAGAAAACCCACGCTGTCCTGAGGTCCTCCAAAGATCTCGTCGATTTTGCCGACCTCCTCTTTGTTCTCGAAGTAGATGGGCGCGTTGAAGTAAGGGATCTTGCCGGATGTGTTCGAGCAAACTATGTCGTCTTCGCAGGAGTGGGTGAACTGGCCGACGATGATGACCTGAAAAAAGGTATAAGTAACCGGCAAGGCAGGAATCTGAAAATTTCGTTACGAATCTGGAATAGAAGGAAGATCCTTACTTCTTCTGGGGGTCCATAGTTATCGCGATTGCCGAAGCCACCGCGTCCACCTCCACGGCCACCGCCGAAACCGCGTCCTCCGCCTCGGCCACCGCCAAAACCGCGTCCTCCGCCTCGATCGCCACCGAATCCGCGTCCTCCGCCTCTATCACCGCCGAAACCCATTCTAAAAAAAGGTGTAACGGTGGAAAATGTGCACAAGGAAAACGTGAAAAGCTTTGGCAAAACAGCAAAAAAATAATATATAGCATTGATCACGTATAGAAGGACTGTAACACAAGATAAACATAAAAAAGTTGCTTGGAAAGTTTTGGGTTTGAGGATCGCGCCCGAGGAAAAACGAGGCTGGCAAAATGCCAGTCGCCCCAGGACCGCCCCTGCCCGACACACCTTTCCGATTTTTCGGTGACCGCTGCTGAACTCGCCGCCAGCGATGCGAAATTCGCAAAACTTTGCATTGCAAAAATTGTGGGATATAAAACTTAGAAAAGTAGTAGACTTCAATGGATAGTATAGTAATGGCCTACCCTCACGCATGTATTTCCCACAATTTCAACGCTCGGTTTGCCCTTGCTGCACTCATCCTGGGGCAGAACCACGTGCTTCTACCCGATTCCTTGAAATTTTAGCGACTTCCAGGGTCCACTTATGGCCTTTAGATCCAGGACCTTCTCCTGGGCTCTGAAATCACCGCAGCATTTCCATCAGTGGAGTGACCGTAATCGGCGCCCACGCTTGTCTGCCCCTTTACGGGCTTGCGCTTTTCACTTCCCTTGTTCGTAAAGTTACCCCTATTATTTCCGTCTCTTTTGCGTTTTTAGAAGTTGTGGGAAAGGAGGTGGAGATAGTAAGAATGAATAGCACCCTTGTTTTTGCTTTTTGTTAATGCATTCCCAAATATCAGTAAGTAGTGTTTATGGCAGCTTGGTTTTTTTATCATTGGAGCAGAATTTTGTCTAACCCCGGCCTTATCGCCTCGATCTGCGCACAGTCGCGTGCTCTTGGCCGCCGCCGCGCTCTTTTTTGTGTGTGTGCCCCAAGAGGCTCGCTGTGTCATCTTTCGACATTCATTGGCCGGTAAGGTTCTTTTGCTCATACAACCCCCCCCCCCCCGGTTCTTAATCATGGTCGAAGGAACGAGAAATTTTATATTTTTTTTCCTTCAATGCGTTGGCCACGACAAAGCCCCAGCCTGATATTGATCCCAGCTAGAGTCCCTAGTCTCGCCAAAATTTCCTATGAACCATGATTGGAGGAAAAAGGCGAAGCCGTGACGCCGTCTTCCTAATCCCTGGCGCCACGATCAATACGGCGCACATCTACCTACGCAAATTCGGCGCGATTTCACGGTTCAATACCACTGGGGACGGGCTCCTCGGCTCCCCTTCCCTAATCCACTTCTTTATGAGCTTCGTGGATTAGCGTTTATACCCTGGAACTCTCTTTCTTTCACGGCATCTCTCCGCTGATCCGGAGGCCCCGGATGAGTTCATTGTCAGCCCGGATCGGGCAGCAGCGCTCCCCCCGCCCAGCCCGATTGAATATGGCTTCTCCGCCTCGCTCTCAGGCCCGGCTGTCCCGTTGATCGGTGAAATGTTTGTTGTCAATTCTAATGGATTTGTCGAAAGGGATGTGCCCCTCTGGGCTATTATTAACAAGCATTAATTATAGGCTCATTTTTGAAAGATATTGTCCCCACGATTAGCTCGTCTTTTGGCGCCTTTAGGTCTTGGCGTGGGTTTTTTTATGTTTCGGCTCGAGGGCATTGCCCGTATGCGTTGAAATATGCCGAATCAATGATTTCTGGACGCTTCTTATCACTTCGAGCAATGGGGGGCTTCGTGTGTGGTTCAGCCGACAGTGATGATCAAGTAGTCTATCAAGTTAGCGCAATTCTGGTCAATTAGCCTATCAATATGTACTTGCCTTCCAACTCGCTGGTCTTCTAATGTTATCTGTCCGATGATTTACGACAGTTTTGAACTTCCTGTTTGCTCGTAGCCAATTGCTAGAATGATCCGCATGTATTCGCTCTGGGGTGGTCAAGCGGTAGCCCGATTCTGCGGGCCTGTGGTGTTCGATTGTGAAGGGGAGCAGGGGGGATGGGTGGCCAGTGGCCCTGGCTGGCTTCTCTGGCCATCGCCGGCCTGCCCTCCCCGTCTGCCCCCCTCTCGATCCCCCCACCCGTGCCCGGCGCCATTTTCTCACGCTCGGACCCGCCTGCCCCCACTTTCCCATCGCGTGTTCGGGGGGGCTCGACCCCCGGCCAGCATCGGCCCGTTTTTTGCTGCGCCCGGCTGAAAAATGGCCGACACCGCAACGATTCCCCTCGCGTTTATTCCGGGATCCAACGCGCCGCGACCGGCATAAAATTAGCCTCGGCTTCATCCGGTTCTCACGTGCCTTTTTCCTCATTTTAGTCGGGGGGTGAAATGTGACACGGCGTTTAATTGAAATCATGTTTCTGTTTGGCGCTTGTCTTTTGTAAATTTAGCTATTGCCGACTAACGTCACAATACCGTACTCCCTGCCATATACCTGATTACCGGATATTGGTCAAATTGTCGACGAAAAATCTCGGTTTCCCCTGTGCTGGCCACACGACACTTCCGCCCCTTTTCTTTAGCTTTGTCCTCGTGCGATCGATACCATGTCAGGGCTCAAATCCAAGGAATTACACTTCTGATTCTGGCCAGCTAACTGTAAAACAAATTCGCCCTTTCGGTCACACTGCTATGTTGTTGCACGGCCCTTAGACGCTGCAGCCCTAGACAATACATTCATATCCTTAGTCACCACTGAATTACGTGGCATTCCTCTCAACATTGAAACCCTACCCTGAATTCGAATTCCAGTCATTTTTCCTAAAAATCATTTTTCCTAAATTCATTTTTCCTAAATTCATTTTTCCTAAATTCATTTTTCCTAAAAATCATTTTTCCCTAAAGTCATTTTTCCTAAAAATCATTTTTCCTAAAAATCATTTTTCCTAAAAGTCATTTTTCCTAAAAATCATTTTTCCTAAAGTTCATTTTTCCTAAAACCGGTTAGATACCGTAAAGGCCTAGTTCTTTAGTACTATGCATGAGAAAATAGAAAAATTTTTAGAATAAGGTCAGATCTGCCTAGAGTGATCATAGGAAGTATTTTAGTTGCGCGTTTAGCCTAGATTTGGGTGATTGGAAGTGAAAAGGATCAATTATAATAAGAAAGATTTTCGATAAAAGCCTACTAATAACCAAACCAAACAAATACTGCTAAAAAATTATAGCATTTGGAATTTCTTGATATTTTTACGCATCCCTATTGAATGAAAAATTTTAGGAAAAATGTACTTTAGGAAAAATGATTTTTAGGAAAAATGACTTTTAGGAAAAATGATTTTTAGGAAAAATGAATTTAGGAAAAATGAACATAACCCCCTGAATTCAGCTATGCGCATTCCACTCTTCGTCACTTTCTTGTTTTTCTGTTCAGAGTCAAAGTATCTTTCAGGTAGAAGCGGTACGGCCGTTATGATACGCAGACAAACTGGGCGTAGGCGGTTCATCTAGACGCACGAAATCGGAGAGCAGGGTAGGATTTTGGATAAATTGTGTTACCACTGAATTGTTCCGCTTAGGGATCAATGCACAAGAAGTCCGGGAACTTGGAGGGGAACTCAGCCAGCCAGCCGGGGTCCTCCCGCACTGACACTTCGTCTTCTATCGGAACAGCTCCCCTGGCTGTTGGGGAAAGTTCTGTGACTCAGCGCGCGAGCGGGTGGGCAAATTTTGTGATTTTGAAAACATTTTTCTGTTTAGTGGGAGCACTTCGTCCGCCTTGTCGGATAATCAGGATCCATCATCTCCTCGTACCAAAGTCAGCACCACGACGGCGACTTCTGCAGCCACGTCTGGCCGCAGCTCTGGCAATGCGGGCCAATTGGAGGAACGGAAACGCTCCCAGCAGGTAAAGCCAATTCCGATCGCTCAACTGTGCTTTAGCTGCTGGGGCCAGACGTCTTCTTCCGAAAATTCCGGCAGATTGTCAGCCAGAATGGGCGCCGCTACCAAAATGACGGATATGATTTGGACCTGACTTGTGAGTGGAATGCCATACTTTTTAAAGTTTCTTTAGATATCACTGACCGAATCATTGCTATGGGCTATCCAGCGTCCGATCGTGAATCGGTTTATCGGAGCAGCATGGAACAGACGGTCATTTCTCGAGCGTCGCCATCGCGGCCACTACAAAGTCTTCAACCTGTAGGTATTTTGCTGAGTATCGGATCAGAGCCTTGCTGGGCTTTGGCGGTTTTCACGTCGTTAATGCTGATTTTTTAGTCGTGGATCTTACGTCTACGACCCGGCCCTCTTTGAACATCGTGTGGTCTGCTTTGAAATGACTGACCATCACCCGCCGCGTCTCGAGGCTCATGGCTCCATTCTGTCGCGAAGTAATTCGTATATTACGTTCCGAATGCGTTTGTTTAGGTGCACAACTATCTGCAAGAGGACAAGCGCAATATTGTGGCCGTTCATTGCAAGGCAGGCAAGGGCCGGACTGGTGTTATGATCTGTGCCTATCTGGTCTACATCGGCTTTTACTTGTCGCCGCGCCAGAACATGGACTATTATTCAGTGGTCCGGACGATGAACAATAAGGTTAATCGGGTTGTTCTTTTATAGGATGTTTCAGGGTGTGTACCACCCCTCGCAGCGTCGTTACGTCTACTACTTTGCGCACCTGCGAAAATTCCATCTGAACTACATCCCGTTGCGCGTCGAGCTGGTCGGCGTCTACGTCGAGCGTCCGCCGCGTATCAGTGGTAGCCTGTCGCCGAACTGTTCTGATTTATAAATTTAGGGTCGTTAACAAAGGGTGATTTCTCGCTGCGGGTGTTAACGGTGACGTTGATGTGTATCACGGGGATTGGTATACGTACACTAAAGAGGTGTGTTGCCCTTACCTTTTTTGGGCGGGCCCCGTTTGTGGATTTTAAAGTCCTTGCCTCTATTTCTCTACCTTTTTGAGCTGGGAGGAAGAGGGACAAGAAATGGGGCAATCCGACTCGATGCTCTCGTGGCCCGGATTCTTATGATCCCTGCAACCCGGTCCGTGGCAATGATGTGATTTCTAGGTATGATTTATCTTGGGGGGTTTTAACGCGGAATTCAGGAGAGCTTACGGCTGGACCGTACCTTCCAACAAACGGGTATTCCTGGAAGGTGATGTGCGCATGGATCTCTACCACAGCAAGAAAGTCAAGCTGCTCAACGTTGGAAGCAAGGATCGGTCAAAAGTATCATATTTCTCTTTATTTCTAACGAATTTGTTTAGTTGGACACGTCTGGTGGAACACGATGTTTGCTTGTCCGCAGTTTTGCGGTGGCTTCTATAAACATGGCGAGTGAAGCGTTCCCATATCCACCCGGTAAGACCTATTTGTTTTCTTGAAACAAACGAAATTTAGGTGAGACTACAATTGCCTCTCGGGTTCTTGCCACAAATCCACCTCCGCCTCCCCCACAGCAAGGCGTTCGCCCGAAGAGTGGAAGCGCTTCTGTCCCGAATAGTCCACCGTTGTCACCTAAAACGGTACGTTGTTTTGGGATGCGCACGAGGTCTCGTGTTCCAGGAACGTTCTTCTACCGCAACTCGTGCCCCATCTTTCGATGCACGCAAAAACAAAGCATCGAGTGCCAATCGGCTTCACAACGCCGTCAAGAAACGTTGGGACATAACTTTTTCATTCAGCTTATTTTAGTGGCCGAAGGTGTCGTCTCGCGGAATAGCGAGCCTAACATCGATCGACCATCGTCATCGGGAAAGCGCGACGGCTCGGGCAGCGATCCGACGAGGAGGGGAGATGGCTCCAGCTTTGACATTCACTTGATCTCACCACCGGGACAAGACCTCCATTGTCCGACCGACTCCTTGAGGCGATTTACGGGGACAAGGGGGGGTTTCAATGTATGTCGTTGTCGCTTTTTAACTTTGCATACGTGTTTGTCTTCACTTGTGCGGTTTTCATTATTTTCCTTAGACCACCACGAATCGAGATCGAGCGCATTCTCCGGGAAGCTCACCTTCGCGAACTCGTGGCCGATCAGTACAACGAACGCCGTTCTCTGTTCCTCAAGGTGAATTTCAGCTGTCATTTCGTCGATTTTGTTTTTATTTATTATTCTTTTGTTGCGCTTGATATGTTGAGTTTCAGATGGAACGCCAGTGGAGAAGGCCCCAGACGGTCGCCCGGGCACGAGCACCGGCTTTGGTCCGTTCTGCATTACGCGGAAGCGGAGGAACACGTGCAAATCTACAACGTGTTGGAAGTCGACCGTGCTTATAAAGAAGAAGGATATCGACCCAGGCTTCCGTTTGATCGTCGTCACTCGGTGTGTTCCCGTTGGCGGATCCGATGCCGAACTGGCGGAGAGTTATACGCGTCACACATGAAACCGAACAGGACGAGAAGAAGTTTGCACCGGGTAATCTTGTATCCTTCCGCTCATTGTGTGATTCAGATTGCTGCACGCCAAAAAAAGCTTTCCGAGAAAATGGGCGAGTCCGAGGAGGCTGTGAAACGTTCGATGTCAATCAGGACAACTTATGTATGCTACTTTTCATGTCTTATTTTTTTTTTCTCTTTAGTGACGAAGAGCAGTGGCGACGACGATCGCTTCAGGACCCGTTGCAAAAGAAATATTTCTATCGTCAGCGCATCGACTCTTTCAGTCGTTATCTCTCAGCAACTACTGGAGTTACCTAGCCCTAATTTTCTACCGTCATCTTTAGATGCCCTCTGTTGACTCAATTCTCAACGTCTCCGCCTCGTATGGCTCCCCAGCTGCCTTCACCGGTAGATTTTTTCGCCATGGCGTTTTATCATTTCCCGAACTTTGCGGCGATCGCTAAACGCGATTACGCCGGCGCGAACTTTCTGGCGCAGGCTGCGGCGCGAACATTCAACCAATTTTGCTGCGGCGCACGCTTTTTGCAGCGCGAATTTTGCGACAATTACGCAGCTTTGTGATGTGTGGAAATCATTTAAATTCAGAATTTGTTTTGAGTTCAGATTGGATTTGAGAAATTTCAGAAATTCAGAATCAGAATCACCACCAGAAGTTTTGTTTGTTATGAACATATATGTAATTCCATACAAAATTAACAACTTACGCAATGCCGTGACAAGAGACCTCTTGAGGGCGTCAGGCAAGGTGGGCGAAATATAACTGGATGGGCTGCGCTCTCTTTACTGAAATCGAGGCGCCTGGGCGCTTTTAACGCTCCTCAGGCGCCCGTTTTAAGAAACCCTGTCTGACTCGCACCATCAGAAGCGACTGGGCTGGGTGGCACGGCCTTTTTCTAGTCGCAGAGCGAAAATAAATTAATTTCCCCCAAATCGAGTGACTCCTGTCGCGAAGCGGTCTTCTAACGTTTCTGAGCGAAATTCCGGATGCAGTGCAAAAACCAAAATTTCTTGCGCACTAAACATCGCGCCATAAATTCGACCTTCGTGTTCGCGCCTGCCGTTCGCGCCGCAATCTTCGGCCACGGGTTCGCACCAAGGAATTAACGCAAGGTTCGCAGCCACCAAGATTGCTCACTGGTTAACGCCGCAAAGTACGCGCCGCAAGTTCGCGGCTGCTATATGCGGTACCCTCGACGAAATTGTTGAGATTGAGCAGCTGTGTTGCCTCAATGAATCTTGCACACCAGCTCTCGGCCAACAATCCCCGCGCATGACAGGACATGGACGTCCGCAGCTATCGTCAGGACGACGGTCAGTGGCGTGAAAAATCCGACATTTCAACGTCAGAGTGACGAGGTGATTTTGACAAACCTTCCACTTCAAACAGTCTCTTTTAGGAAGTGACCACGACGCCTCTACAAGCCACTGTTCGCCCTCCCAAGCGGCATTCAGTGAATTTAAGAATATTTGACTTCCACTCTCGCGGGACATCTCCTGATCCTCCCGCTTTGATGCGCCGATCCGTGAACACCGACATTTACCTAACGACGATTATTTGTTGGAGCTGTCGGTTGGCTATGTTCTGAATGGTCTCTGGTTGGTAGTTAGTTTCAAAATTACCTGAACGTTTGCCCTGCAGCCCAATCTTTCCGATTTATAATCCCTATCCACTTGGTAGACGTTTTGCCATCTCAAGTTCGCAAAGATAATAATTTGTGCTGATCCCCAGGGCTAAACCCAGACATTTCCATTCTATGAGTTTTTGACGCCCCCTTCCTGAATATCAATTCCCCCTCTTTCGTTTGACCCATCGGCCGCCAGTATTTACCGACTTCCCAAAGTCCTCCAACATTCTTTGTGTTTGAAGTTGTGTGTTTGTTAAGATTCTGATTCGTCATTTCCGCGTTTTGTACCTAGCACAATCGTTTTGCAATGCTCATTTGCCAGACTGCCATTTTAACTTTGGAATCATGGTCTGGGCCTTCCCTTTCCCTGGTTTTCAATGTTTATGAACTGTCCCTCCCGAACTCAAAGAAGTAACTAGGTTGGATTTGACTGCTCTGGGGTTGTTGCTTTTTTAAATATCATTATTACTGGTTTTGGGATTAACTTGTATGTTGACCAAAAAAAATTCATTCTACACTACAGCACTGTCCTTTTCAGCTCATCCTAACCTTTTTTTATACTTTTTACCGTTTGCTTTTCATCCTCCCTACCCCATCATTTTGAATATCATGTGTATGTTTTCCCCCGTTGCTGTGTTAGCATATATCAAATTGTTATACCTTCCCGTTTTACTGCTATACCTTTACGGTTTCCCTCTTCCTGTGTATCTTTGATAGATTCCTGCATTCTGTGCTCTCTCGTTCAAGTCGACCGTTTTAAGCGGCAGCCACTGGACACCTGGGTATCGTTTGATAAAGATAAATGGTGCGTTCCTTTGTTGGTAATGATAACAGAATATCTGCAACGACAAATTACATCCCGTGTGATTCAGATTCGAGCGCGATGCTTTGGCGGTCATCCGGATAAGTTCAAACGTGGTCTTAAGTTCCGCAGCCCCCAATCAACCACCAGACATGCCCGGAAGTTGGCGATCGCGTGAGGTGCGAAGAAACCCCCGCATCCCCTCAATCCGTGCCATTTGCAAGGCTTGCGGTGAGCAGCTCAGCCAGTGGTTTTACTGCCGTCTATGTGGAAACCACCGGCTCGGCTCTCGACATGATTAGATTGATGCTCGTGTGTGCGGATGGCAGGAGGAGGGAGAGGTTCGCCGAGGGGAGGTAGTACCCCTCTGGGGACCCCATTATAATATTGACATTTCCGGACGGTGCCTACCAACTCATTGTGCCGCACTTTTTTTGTACTTCACAACAACGTGGCCAGGCTGGCTGTATCTTACAGGTCATTCACGGGGTTCTTTGGGGTTTCCGGGGGACATTCTACTTATTTTAGGATGAGTTTCTGCCTCTTGTTTTGTACCTCCAGAACATAAACAGGGTGAATTAATGTACGTGGGGTTCATTGGCCTTGAGAGTAGACTTCGGAGTAGGGGGCGTCTGTTCCCATACGCCTGTTATCTAGGCTTTCACCTGGTTTTTTTTCCATCTTGAGTATGTAACTATTACGGCTTGAAGCCCCAGCATATCCAAGGTCCTTGGCACAATCAACAAATCAGGACACGCATCTTTATTTGCGTTTGACAGTTACACAGGCCACATGAGGACGAGGTATAAAAGCGATGGGGTGGGGATTGGATGGGGTTGTGGCCCGTCCCTCAGTCAGACTTTGTGTTGAGCTTGCACTTGCAGCACAGCGATTGGTCGATGATATGCTGCAGCTCGACCCTGGATCAACTATTCGCGACCGGCGTACAGAGGCGCGTCGTTCTTGATGTCGACCACTGAAGGACCGTGGGTCTAGTTTTAGCGATGTTTTGAAGTTTGGGAAAGCCATGGTCAGTATTTTAATAATATTTTTTGCTGAAATTTTGTTAGATTGCATCCAATTACTTATTAGAAAACTTTAAAATTGTTTAGCCATTTTTGGTCGGTTTTGAAGCTTTTGCAGTTGAAAATATAAATTTGAAGTAGATTTTTTTCTCCATTTGAAGGCTGGGATACTGAAAATATCCTGTTTCTGACCTGCCGAGGATCTGCTTGCCGCCGACGGTGATCACACCAGCCAGGATATTGCCTGTGTGGTTGACGTGCACCATGGGTTGCATCGTGTGGTGGCCACCCCCGCCTCCGGATACGGGATCCAGCCGTAGTCGAAACCGCCACGATGCTCCAAACCAGCTCATTACCGGGATCTAGAACCCGGATGTCTAGAAAAGTAGACGCTCTTCTCACCTGGGGTCAACGATCAGGCCCGTTTTTCTTTGTACTCGTTGCCGCCCCACCCGAAGTTGGCGCAATCTTGCCGCCCTGGATTCAGACGCGGCCACATCACCGGCTCGCCCTGCCTGAGCGCAGAGCGCCACGTACTGGTCGGCGTTCTCGCGCCGGGCAGCGTGTCCGGGGCTCTTACCAGGGCACAAGATGAACATTGTTGGGGTGATGGTCAGCTGCGTGGATGCTCACCTCGCCGGGCGCCCGGCCGGCCACGGGTCCCCGGCCCGCAGATCCGGCCTCATTTTTTGAGCATGACGCGGATGGTAGACGGCATCGGCTTCGGCGGCTCCATGGCGCAGACCTTGCACTCACGCAACCGGGCAGGGCACCACGCTATTCGGGTTACCGACCACGAGGCAGCTGTCGCTCAGCTCGCCGCCGACCTTCTTGAAGTAGCCTGGAAGGCTGACTGATTGGTACCAGCAGAGTTTGAAAGGCTTGTAAAGCCGTGAGCACGAGCAAAAACCCCACCTTCTTGTTGATGGAGAACCAATGATCTCGGTGCTTGTTGTCGATGTAGCCGAGAAGGCGCCTTCCATGAGAGGTTGGGCCAGTAGATGGGGATCAGTTGCCACTGCCCATGAGCAGCTCGGCGTCTGACCTTGTCGACCCCGGTGCTGTGCGCTTCGTCCAGCTGTACCAGTAGCCGAGGTCGATGGCGTGAGATCGCCCTTGTATTGAACACCTAGAAAAATGTAAGTTATTTAACTTATTGTGATTGATTTTATGCTAAAAATTCTGGGTATAACTATTAATTTTGTATTTTACCCAGCAATAAGCGGTTATAAACACTAAAGATACACAAGAAATTAGTAAAGGAAGAAGCAAAGACTAACTCCCCATTTAACAATCCATTACCTTAAATAGGTTTAAAATGGATATAAACGTATTCAAATGTGCCTGAATCACCCTCCCAGGTCGGCGGCGCCCAGTGAGCTCGGCATCACTTGGCAGGCGAACGAGCATGTTTCGACGCCACCATTGTTTTCCACGAGCGACTTCATGGATGGGCTTGCCAGTGTATTTACCTTGGGGCCAGGTACATGTTCTGCTCGCCTTCACCTTCACCGGTTGTCGGGAACGGCAGAGCCGATCAGCTGGAACGCCCAGGTGTCTTCCTTCGCGGCCGGCATCTTGTCTTGGTTGAAGTCGGCGGGGACTCGTTGAAGATGATTGGGGTTGGGAGGTGCCCGCTTTTTATATGAAAAGCCCGAGGGTAATCACGGGTTTTGTCGGAGCAATTGGATGTAGATCTGGTCTTGGTACCAAAGTAAGTTTCTATAATTTTGGAAAGGTTTTTCAGCCAAATTTTTGTATTTTTTTTTGTTCGCCAACTAGTAAAGTAGGTAAATCGGCAGTTGTCTATTAGTTTTAAACCGAATTATCAAGGGGGTTTTA